AATCGAATTCATTGCGATATGGATATTCGAGAAAGATCTAGATAAGACAGAAGATGTGGCCATTGTAGAAACCCAGGACACACTAGAAAAACATGTCCACTTCTATTGTCATCAAGTAACAATTGATGAGGAAATGATGTATTTGTTTATCAAATAATAATTCTTGTATTTTAATTTGTATTTACTTCAAGTTAATGTCATTCGATAATCGCTGATAAAGATTAAAAAACGAACACAATTATTAAATTTTATCAAACTAATAACAATTTGATATTTAAATACAACAAACTTACAATAAGAATTAAATGGTAAATGATAACCAAATTAAAATAACTGATATTAAATGGTAATAAACAAAATTAACTAAAATATATTTAAAAAATGTCCAACAAATTTAACAAAATAAAGTAGATATTAAATGAGAAATAATAAAAAATTACAATTAAACAAAATAAAGTAAATACAAATATAATAAAAAAAATCTATCGATGCTTGCGTCGTAAATGTGTTCCACAGGGCTGTGGCTGTCGGTCTCGAGGAGGATTTCTTCGTATCACTGGTTCCGACTCCTCGCTGTCATCATCGACATCGTCATCGTCGTCATCGTCGTCGTCCTGAGCAGGTACATCAGGTTGATGAGGAGCTGATGACGATGAAGCACCTCCATAGAATAAGGACCCTGGAGGTGTATGACTGACTATCCCACCGTCATGCGAAAACTGGGAAAACCCAGACAACACAGAGTGTGAAAACTGTACAGGAGGTGTCTGTGTTGCGGCCATGGGTGATGAGGATGAACCCGCCAAATATTCAGCATATAAACCCCAAGTCAGATCTACAAACATAAACCCATAATAGCCTCCAGGAGGGGTCATCTGTGACGGTGGCGGGGTCATAAAACCAGGTGAAGACGACGACGACGGCATCTGGTAATGAAAAGGCGATGGCGGCATCATATATGACCGCGGCATCATATATGGTTGCGGCATCATATATGAACCGGAAGCACCTGCTCTCCGTCCACGAGTCGGGGGACGATGGTGCTGTGTCGGTGAACGTCTCTGTCGACGTTGTGGAAAGGTCTGCCCTCGTGCATCATCGGGAAGTACAAACGGTTTCCCGTTACTGTTGAACCACTCATAATAATCCTCAGTATACATCAAGAGGTCATCAAAAATGGGCTATCTACGAGGAAGGCGTCGATGTCGATCCTCCTACAACACGACCCACCCATGATGCCTCAACAGCCAATCTATATTTGTCTTGTCGCGTCTATCTAAGCTATGCAACTCGTCCATATTGCGAGGTGCTTCCGAAATTGGTTGAAAACAACCAAACTATTGGAGCACGCGATCAGTGGAGTGCCACTCGACGGTCGCATAACAGATCAGAGTGACCATCGCCATCCAAACATCTGATGGACCCCTCAACTCATGTGGGATCACCGCCCTCACATCATCAGTAGAATATGACAACCATTCAAACTAAAACAAATAATATATAATTTTTATCAAAATAATAATCTAATTATATAACTATAATCTAAAATCGGTTTTTAAACATTAAAATTCATACATGTGTGCTAGCCTTCTGATCGATTAGCACCCTAATATTTTCTAAATCATCAGGTAGCTCCTGATGATTTTTCCTATCAGTAGACCACCTATTCAAGGAAAAAAATTTGTTATACGCTATATAAAATTATTAATATACAAAATCAGTTTTATAATTACCTCAGAAGTAGTGGAAATACGAATGGTTCTTCACAACGGGACATAAAAAGGGCAATCGATACCATGCCCCAGACTGCAGCAACAGGAGACATCCGCCGATAGCATTACGCCTGTAGTCAGTGGCTCCACACATCTCCCTGTACAGCAAATCCAAAACTGCCGAGCCCCAACTGAATGATCCGGAGAGACGAAAGTCGCTAAGATGTCGCAACCACATGCAGTGAACTAGGTTGCGCGATTTGTCCGGCATCAACAACCCTCCTATCAGCTGCAGTATGCATGCCCGTGCATACATCTTAACCTCATCCTTAGAGGCGTCTGCGCTTAACTCCCGAAAATTGGCATCTAACCAATTTAACGGTATCCTACCTCCGATAAAATTTTCCGGGACACTTCCTAGACTATCCCAACACAAAGTAGTCCAAGAACCAAAAGTTATCCCCGATATCACATCTCCATCCACGGGAAGCCCCAGGTGCATTGAAACATCCTCAAGCGTGATCGTGCACTCTCCGCACGGAAGATGGAATGTGTGGGTCTCCGGCCTCCACCGTTCTACTAAGGCAGAAATCAGGTCTGGCTCTATCTTACAGTGACCCTGATATCTACCTATGTAACTGAATCCAGCCTCTACTAAATACGACAAGACACAGCTGTGTATCACTAACTTAAGATTCATAATAAAATGATCTAATACACGGTCTTTCTCCTAAAAATAAATAATTACAAAAATTAATTCTTAATCTAATAATCATGCATTAAATGAATCAACTAATTATTACTAATAATTTAAATTAAATTAAAACGTTAAAATGTTACCGTATCAGCAAAGTGTCGAGATATTTAATTCTTAATCTAATAATCATGCATTAAATAAATCAACTAAATATTACTAATAATTTAAATTAAATTAAAACGTTAAAATGTTACCGTATCAGCAAATCGTAGTGATATATGATTTTCATCTAAGTGAAGTATACTGTCTTTCATTATATATCTGCAAAAGAATTATATTAGTAAAATATTAAATAAAGTAAAAACATAATAGTAAAAATATTATAAAATATACCTTAAAAAGAGAGTATTTGAGAGAAATTTAGAGAAATTGAGAGAATTTGGTGTGATAAAAGTGATTGAAGATGTGGTATTTATAGGGAGGATGGGGACGTGAGGGGTTGGGTATTTAGGGGTATAGCGCGCCCCTTGCACCTGCTATACCCCACGTGTCAGATATCCAGGTATAGCGCGGATCAGGGGGCGCGCTATACCTACGTGACGCCAGATCACCGTATATCGCGGGGTAGGGGGCGCGCTATACCCACGTGACGCCAAATCAGCATATAGCACGGTGCAGAGGGTGCGCTTTCCTGCTAAGGGTGTTAGATCGGGAAATATAATCTGACCGGTGTTAGATCGGTAATAATACCGATCATCAGTAATATACTGGGAAAATCACCTTCGATTGGTTCAATAAATTAATAATTTTGATAATAAAGTAGCTTTAGTTAATTGATTATTTCTTATAATTTTAATACATTATTTTTTATTTATATTTTAAATGATTAAATAAATCGATTAAACTAATCGATTAAACTAATCAATTGTATACTATGATATACTAGAGCTAATAGTCACCATTACTATTTGTAGATATGTCTACTATTGATATTTTTATGTTATTGCTCTTTACCATATTTGTAGCTTATTGCTCCTACAACCAAAAATCTACAATCGAATCACAAATCACTCAATTACTAGTAAGATTACAAATGGGTCACCAATTTCAAAAAGCTACAATCTAATCACTCGATTAATCAATTGTCACAAACAAGTCATTGGATCATTAAATATTATATGGCTTTCTGATGTGGGATGTTTTATTTATTCAAAAATATTATATTTTAAGGAAATACAATCAAATCAATTAGTTGTTTGTAATAATCAAATCATGTGTCAACACGTCGATCTATTGTATATGGTATTTGATAAACCCTAAATTTCACCCTAAATTTCACCTCGATCTCCTCATTCAATTCATGAAATTAGATTCCCAAGAACCTCTCTCAAAAGCCAAGAAACCACTTCATAGCTTTTGAAATTCTTGAACCTCTATCTACGATGTCCACTATCATATGACCTTTGTCTCAGGATATGTTCTTCTTCCACTCACCAACGGCAACCTCGCCACTGTTCGGATCATCAAATAGAACCCCTAGTCTTCAATAAGTCCCAAAGACCAAAGCTCAAAGCGAATTTTCTTTTCTAATTAATCATGTGACTCGTTTGTGACTCTTTAAAATTGGATGACTTATTTGTAATTTTACTAATAATTCGATGACCCATTTGCAATCTTACTAATAATTGGATGACTTGTGGTGTAATTTACCAAATAAGAAAATCAATAAAAAATGTGTTACTAAGTAACAACCTTCTATTGCCCGTTACATTTTTAACGGTCAAACAACATGCTTGTGAGCATCAATTAATTGACTGACTCATTTGTAACTTTTTGAAATTGGGTGACCCATTAGTATTCTTATTAATAATGGAGTAACCTGTGGTTAATTTAACCTAAAATAAAGAGTTCCATTGAACCTTGGAACTAAAATGGCTACATTGCTCTGACTTTTCATTTTGCTTGAAGTACTAATGACTCGCATATTCACACGTGGACATGGATATGATTATATGACCTTCTATATACCCTCCAAGTAACATAGAAAAACAAATTCAATTTCACACCAAAGAAGAAGAAGAGAGTGGACACATTCCTAAAAACACTGTATAGTAAAGTTTGCACACATAAATATCGTGAAATACCAGTTAAAGTTTTTAAGTTATTATACACAAATATGTACTGAAAAGAAAACTAAACGATTTACATCTTTATCAAAAACCTCAATCAAGTCAAAGGCTCAAAGCTTAAGAAGATTATACGTAGGGATAGCATTTTGCTATCGAGATTGCTGAGTCAAGTTGGTTTATCTAATGGCTTCAAATATTAGACCTAATAATGAACATACGAAAGATGTGCACACAAATCATGATCCAGCAAAAACACAAACTGAAACAATATCAATTACTCTTAAATTTTACCTTGCAAGAATTAACTGTTGGTTAGGATTGCTTGTCCCGGGTCCAGTAGGACTCCATCTGATGGCATATATCTCCTGCAGAACATTTGTTCAATATTTTCCCCAAAACAATAGTTTATGTTACTTAAGACTTGGATGTGAGTCCCATATGTGTTTGTCACATGTATGTTCAATTTCTTAGAATGATCCCTCAGATCATGAACATACTTGTCCTGCTTCATGCACCATATCTGCACCAAGACTCTTTATTAGTTGAAACCAAAAATAATAAAAGAAAGAACACTTGGCAGAAAGGCATGGCAGCAACAAAAAACGGGAATCAAAACCAACAGAGACAAAGCTATAATATTGAAAAAAACTGGCAGAAAGTTTCAAATTTAACCTCTTTTTTTTTTGAAGATGACAAGATGAAATAGAACAAACTGTATATTTCATGAAATAAAGGATGTTTGTTAAGTAATAGCAAAAGGATAAAAGTGTAAAAAAAAAAAACCTTTGCTGTAATATCATCGGAACAAGAAGCCAATAATGAACCTGTCGGATCCCATTTGACACAATTTACCTCACCCTAAAATGCACAAAATTCCAAAAGGTGAATAGAAGAACAGAGACACAATCCAAGTCAAAAGTTTCGCTGATCCAAATCCAAAACCAAACATTGTTTTCAGTTGCTAATTAAAGACCATGAATGGCAAGTTACAGCTTCCATAAGGCTTTGTTATATTGTTGTAAAAGTTCCCTAGCAAATTGTTTCTCAGGAAAGAAAAAAGGGGAGAAAAGTAAAAGGAATATGGAAATAAAAAATAAAATAAGAACCCACAGTGAATGTTATTAAATCTTTTCTTTTATAGGATGCAGGATGCAATCTTTAAAGTAGAAACGGGAGGAGGTAAAAGAAAGACGGAAGGGAAAGAGGCATGAACTTGGAGGCATTACAGGAAGCGGCAGGCATGCATTCCATATAACTGACGACAAACCTGATGCCCTGCAAAGGTTTTAATAGGGCGGATTTCTCCAATCTTGCAAACATATCATATGGTCAGTGGAACTTGTTGCGAATGAAACATTGTTGCACCAATCAACATCAAGGGTTGGACCTAGAAGGTAAAGAAGATGATACTCTGGATGAATGAATATTGCCTATACAACTAAAACCCAAACCTTAAAATTTTGTTCAATAGCCAACCTGTGTGAAACTCAAACTGCTGTTTCCATTCTTCTGCCTTTACATCCCACACAATTGCTGTTTTATCAAAGCTTCCCGTAAGAAGATAATCACCCTTCTTGTTCCACTTCAGAGAAAATATAGGCCCTTTGTGTTTACTCAAAGTAGACCTTAGTTCTCCTAAGCAAGAAATAATTGAGGGGGAAGAGTTGAGGCAAAGAATTCTCACGATCATTGAAAGGCGTAAGAATGTATATAAAATGCACCAAAAAGCTTGTGGAAAAATGGAGGTGGTTTGAACACAAGTGAGGGGATGGTACAAAATACATTTTCCTGGCCTTTAGTTGCAGGATTTAGGATGGCATAAATAAAATAACCCACATTGACTTACCATCTGTAGTCCAAATTCTCGCTTGACCATCATAAGAACCTGTTGCAAGCAATGTCCCCTCACCCTGAATACAGGTTAAGATAAAGAATGATACTATTTCCATATTGAGAAGAATAATCAGATAGGCAAGGAACTAAATTTATAGCATTGCCAATTAAGTACACTTGCTCTACAAGAATAACTAAAAAGACACTTCATTCAGCAATGCAAGAATGACAATCAAACAAATAAACAGCTGAAGTGAAAGTGACATTTATAGCATTTTCAATTAAAATCAGCTAAAGCACAAGAATAATAAAACCTACGAATTTAGACAGCAATTATGCCTTTTTTCAGAGACAGAAAACCACTGCAGAGCAAAAACATTAGCATTAATTGCAGTCTATATGAACCAAACATCCATTAGACGAAACAAAGGTACAGTAACAAATCAACTTCCCATCTACTTAAACAAACTAAATCATCTAAGGGTGAAATTGCCACCACCTTTGCTCCATCAGCACCTGAATGCCAAAAAAATGGCTGCCGCTTCAAATTCATTGCTCAAAGAACAATTCTAATTTAATGTTCATAAGGTCTGAACTAATCAAATTCATTATGTAATCTCAACAAAAAATAGATCTGGCCAAGTTAAACTGAAGAAGATTACTCCCAGTACAATCTAATCCTAATGCTCTGCCAAGTATTTTTTGAAACTAAGCAAGTTGTGTAGCAAAAAACTTTACCTAAAGCTTATTCTTTATCGCCTCTTATGTGATATTACTAATTATTTTCTTTTTGTTACAGTTAAGGCGATTAGCTTTCCGGCATAGAACTAGCCTTATGTAGGTGACATGTACTAAATCATTACATCAAACTAAAAGGAGAAAATATTAATGTTGAACTTTGTAGGTGACATGTACTAAAAGGAACCAAAAGTCTGTGGGCAGCTTAAGCCCCCAACAATAACAGAACTCACATTCCAATCAAGTGTCGTCACATCTTTGCTCTTCTCATTGGTTCTTCCTTTTACATGCTTCAGCACTGTAACATTTAATGGACCATTTTGTGCATCAGATTTGCAATGCCCGTCAGCTATTGTTCAAATACGAGCGGTTGAATCTCCAGACCTAGAAATTGAGACAAGAACAGTTAACTGCAACTATATGATGAAATGAAGAAACTTTGTGAATACAAAAACTGATTAGTGACCCTCCGCTGTCATGACATTCAACAACTAAATAATAACAATAATAAAAAAAAAGCTACAAATGTATCAATAGAATACTTAGGTGACATAAACACCAACAAAACACTAGAGGAATCAAGTCATTCATAATGGGAATCTTAGCATAGAGAAACAAGATCCCAGTTTTTCTTCCCTTAAAAATCTCAATCATGTCCAAGACGGCGTAAACAAACAAAGAACTACAACCCCTAAACGGTGTCGTTTCGGTTTCCAGCTTTCCATTGTAACTTGCAATTTGTCTATACAAAATATTGATCCGATGTTTGATCTGATGTAACTATAAATAGCGTGTGTGTATATATATATAACGAGAAAATTAATGACACGAACACAGATTTAAATTCAAATTATGAATATGATGATGATCATGAATATAATATTACAGCTTTTGACAACATACGTATACCATCATCGTACACGTAATTATATCATAGTAGCTATTCATGAGATGACTTACATTCATCTTTAATGCCACAGTCTCTCAGCTTTATTTATAGAAAAAGAGAAGGAAAAAAAAAGACAAATTTAAGAAGCAATGGCAAGTGACAGACAACCCTTTTAAAAGCTAATAATAATTCTAATATTTTTCAGGTTTTTTTCACTTTCCCTGGGCAGAAAATGTTCGTTACCATGCAGATTATATCTGGAACTTTAATGCAGTGGGCTCAACGACGTTCTGGGGCCCATTGTGGTAAACATGGACTGAAATGTTTTGAAACCACCCTTGAGTTCAGGAGTTCCACGATTGGGGTAAAGCTAACGCATCTTGGAACTTTGTATTGACTCATAGAAGAACCCCTTGAAATTGAATAATCCGTTAACTCCTCAAACGTGCCGTTTTGTACCACTCGTATCTCCAGAGGACCGATTGACTTGTCGGCAACTCGGCTTTGACGGTACACTGAGTTCAATGATTCCTCCATCTGTAAGCAGCATCTGCTCAAAAAGTCGCCCGTTGGGGCATTAGCCGAGTCTTTAACGAGTAGTTCCCAGTAAATGACATAGTGACCCGGGATTTGATTAGTGTCCGCGTAACTCGTGTAATCAACAACTCTGGTGTTGAATTCCTTCAGCAAAAGAGAAGCTTTTTCTACTGCGTTTTGTAACTCGGCTTCATCGGTTTTGTCTGACTCGATGCTCAACAAAACGTTATTTCTTCTGACGAAACGGAACTGCGGGGCCGAGTTGTGAAAGCCGATGACATGAAGGATATCGCCGACTCTATAACGGCACAATCCGGCGTAAGTGGTGACAACGAACTCATACTCTTTGCCGATTTCGACATCGGCTAGATCAACAGCGCCGGAAGGTGATGATGATTCAAGAGGCAAGAACTCAAAGTACGCCATGTTTGGCATGATGGTGTACGCGACTTCGGATGGTTTGCACATCGGATTAAGATTGAGACCGAAGTAACACTCCGACGAAGCATAAATGGTGGAAGCTATTGGCAGGCCACCACTGTAATATTCAAGTGTTGAGACATATTGAGCCATTGCTCCAGTTATGATAACTTCAAGGTACTTCGTGTTGGGCCAAATTCTAACGATGATTCGTTCCCAATTCTCCTTCGAACACTCCATTGTAATGAACTCAGCTAGCTCCGGATCAGGTTTCAAGATCTTCTCCATGCATTCTCTAACCGAAGCGTCGGTTACTTTAGGGTTTAATGTTCCGTTCGCGATGTCACGAGCCAGCTCTTTCCAGTTGGTTTGAAGGAAATGAATGGCTCGAAGCAAGCCGGAGGCGAAAACGGCACCGACACGAAGAACCTCGTCCCTCGTGACCAAACCACATAGCATCTGAGCATACATGCTTTGAAAAGAGTCGGTGCAAAGGATGGCCTCGTTGGGGCTGGTGTAGACATTGAAAGGGTCATACGGGCGAGTCTTGAACTGGTCGCTGTTGTAGTAGCTGGTGAGCGCCGGGCGGGCTAATATCCCACCAGGTGTCTTTGTTGAAGCTTTCACGAACAAGAAGTAAAGTCCCTTCCCTTTGTCCAATCCCGGAACGTAACTATCACCCACCATGAAAACACAAAAATATCAAACTTTTGCTTTCAAAAAATTTAAATAAATATAGTATACAAAAATTCTCACAGGTTCATTACAGGCATGAGAAGGTTATACAAGAGCTGACGACGATCTGATTCTTCATGAATTGTTGGCAGCAGCTTCCTTTCTCCACCTGAAGTCCCAGAGCTGCAAATTAATTCCCCCCCCCCCCAAAAAAAAAAAACCCATATGTTATTCAGAAGCAAATCTCGGTGAAATGATTTAGAGAAGAAAACATTTGTTATTTGCTAAAAGATTTCACCTAGTGAGGAACTCAGAAATGGGGTGAGCTGAAAAGATAGGAGACTTGTCACCATTGGCGACACGTTGAACATCAGGCTGGATATCTTCATAACCGGCGACGGGGATTCGGGACTTGAATGTCTCCCGATCCGTAGCTCCATTGAGGCCGAACCGTTTGAGATACTCGGTCTCGGCATTTCGGCTTAGGATCTCACGTAAAACCCTTTGCTGAACCGAATCAACATTTCTCGTCACCTCTTCAATGAACTGAAGAGCCTTCGCGTCCTTGTCGGACGCCAGAGAATCGAGCCGGAACGGGACAGTTGAAGCAACAGCCATGGATGTCGAAATTGGAAAGCAGGAAATGCGAAGGCAAAAACAAAACGTGCAAGGATATCGAAAATTTAAGTGATTTTTTATTAAGCTAAGAATTCGACTGCTCAAGTGGTGTGGAGAAACAAGAACGGGTTGCTTATATAGGGAAAAACCGACTGAAGAACCTCTCTTTTTTACTTTTGTCTTGTGACGTGTCATATGACGTCACCTTCATGACCGAAGCATCCTATAAAGGATCAGGACGTCATATTTTTTATTTCCCCGACGCGTACTATGAAAAGAGACACGTGAGCCCCCGGAAACAATATTGGCCAAAGAAATTCCGACACGTGGGTCTACATACTGTGTCGGCATGAGTTGGATATTTGTCGAACTCTAGAGGATACTGAACCACCACCGCATCACGACACTATTCTGATTTCGGCTAATATAAAATGTCTAATTTTTGTTTGAATTAAAATTTAATTAGATTACTAGTATTGTTAAAATATTATATAAGAAAATATAATATTAATTATATTTAAATACTTAATATTCTTCAAAATTTTGACCAAAAATATAATCTTTAATTTGAAATAGAGAAAATAGAAAGTAAAGTTCTTAATTTTGACTAAAAAATTATAATAACCATTAATTTGTGTTATGTTGGTTATATATCGACTGGCATAAGAAATATAATCATTGTAAATATATTTAATTGTTATATATATCATATGGAAACGTCAAATATCGTGATAAAAATATCGTAATTTCTTGAGAAGTGTCAGACGTTTGAGATATTTTTTCAGATATCTTTTTTTCGAAACTTCTATTATAAAAGGACCCTCCGAAATCTTATTATGCAAATATTAATCTTGTATGAAAAATTCAGAAGAGATACAATAAGTATAAAGATAAAATTGAATGAGTGGACTAACATCTGATAAAAATATTTTCTTTCAACTTTACAAGGCAAAGATGAATTTTTCTTTATACTTCGCTAAAGACAAAGACTTGTCTGATGTTGGCTGATTTCTAGTTGATATTAAAAGTTTTTGTCATCAAAGGGACAAAAGTACAAGCCATTTCTCTATAAATCGTCAGCGATGACATTCGCAAAAATAGATAATTCATTTTAATAACGAAGGACTAATTCATACAAATGTAGTATTTTTACTTTTTAATCAATTTAGTACTACTGCTACTAGTAATAGACATTGCAAATTTATGGTTTATAATTTAAGATTTTAAGTTTGTAATAAGGTATAAAATGATATAATTAAACACTTTGAGGATCAAATTGATGTGAAACATGATAGAGACGAAAATAATAAATTAAATTTACTACAAGGACAAATGTGACCCTAAAACCATAATAGTAATATATTTGACATTCATATATTTAATATATATATATATAATATTGAATAAATCAAGTTGAATATAAATTTTTATTTTAAAAATCAAATCAAATCAAATATTCTTATCCAAAAAAAAAAATCAGCCTTTTTAACGTAATCATTTACATTGTATAGGATTGGGACCCATTCTTCTTATCCCTATCTCATAATTGTATGGTGTAAAATGTAATTACTGTTCATATAATTGGATAATGGTGTCAAAAGTATTTGATCATTTTCGGAAGTCTTTACTGAAAAGCCTAACTTGCACCAATAATTTTGAATTTTAAACTAATTGACTTGTACTTGTGCTCTCTTCAATTTGTACCACACAGAGAGTTGCAGGACAAGTTTGTTATTGTATTCCACCCGACTTCAATAATTATATAATAATTTATATAGAAAAGGTATTTATGATGACGATGTTGCATTTAAATCTTATACCACATTACTGTCGTATAATTTGACTGATGGATCCACCCAACTTAAACGTGCAAGATAGTCGGGGATGATAATTTAACCTGATTTTGATGGGTTCCATTCAATATAATTTGATGTGGTCGGATTTTTTTAAAAATTTAATTTGGATTTGATTGGATCGAATCTTTTAAGGGTGTGAGATCGGGTCGGGATAGATTTGGGTGGAGGGTAAAAAACTCCAAACGACCCGCCCGAGGAAAATAAAGTAATTTTAAAAAATATATATTATTTTTTTAATTAATTCATTATTTTATATCGGGTATGGTGAGATTTATACTCTAAAAATTTAGGTCGGGTCAGAGTCGGATGGATGATATATATTTTTCGGGTCGGATCAGGTCAGATTAACGATATAAAATTTTCGAATTGAATCGAGTTCGGGTGAGAGATACATATTTTTATGGGACCGGGTTGGAAAAAAAAACTGATCCCTACCATCCCTAAAAATAGTTTAAGAGATAATTCCATAATTCTTTTGACAAATGAAAATAATTCCATAATTATATAATTTATATGAAATCTATTTATTTTTAATAATAAATTTATTAAATTAAATAAAATTATTTATTCTCTACTGTAATATTTATTTACAGTATTTTTTATTTAAAAAAAAAAGAAGTCGATTGATAGAACGGGACATTAAATCTTTTAAGTAAAGTAAAGATTCGAATTTTAAATTTTATGAATGGAGTAAATTAAATTATAATGATATTTCATGTTGAATCTTTACAATAATTGATATAAATTAATTGATCAAATACCGATGATTATAGTAAGAAAATAGAAAGGAACTTCTCAAAACAAGAACATAAAAAAACGACGGGTCAACGTGATGGGGGTCATAAAGAAAACAACAAAAGATGCAAGCTAATAGAATACAACTAGCTTTCTAAGTGGACCATTTTAAAGCTCTTGCCGTAGAAACAACAACAACAATAAAACCCAATTCCCATATGCAATGGGGTAAGGGGAGGTAGGGTAGTAGGCTACCCCCAACACCAGGTTGAGAGTAGCTTCTGTGGAAGATCTCTGGCAGTCAGAAAATTAAAAATATAGATAAAATGCAATGCATGTATAAATAAATACATAAATACATAGTTGAACATTATTCATATGCAGATATTAATATCATATGCGCGTTTGTACTTGGGCAGTAATCCCTGTAAATAAATCCATACGAAAAAATCTCTGCATATAGACAGAAACATAAGACCCGACTAAATTTAAAAGTGAAGAGAATGTTACACAGAAATCAACGTAAGCAAGCCCAGTTCTAAGCCTTCATAAATATCAATAACAGAAACGTATAAAAAGTAGAAGTTACCCACACTACTCGACTACCTTAGTTTTGAGTCTCCATACTTTCATATTAGAGGTCATGTCCTCGGTAAGGGTTAAATCCATCAAATCAGATCTCAAGCAGTATTCTCACTTCCGCCTTGGTCGTCCTCGCCTTCTGGCACCGTCGACTGTAATCGACTCTACCCTCCTGACCGCATCCGACGGTAGTCGCCTAAGGACATGCCCAAACCACCGTAGTCTTCCCTCCCTCAATTTTTCAAAAACAGGCACCACTAGAAAGCATTGCTAAAATGGCTACGCAATAACATAATTCCCATCACACTTTTGTTTTCTCATCTTTATTGCTTCGAAATATGAAACATCGACCCCTCTGGACTCATTCAGAGATTGTTCTTTCTGAGATATTAACTTTGACGTTAATCTAAACTCAGTTTATTCGATTGGTTCAATAAATTAATAATTTTGATAATAAAGTAGCTTTAGTTAATTGATTATTTCTTATAATTTTAATACATTGTTTTTATTTATATTTTAAATGATTAAATAAATCGATTAAACCAATCAGTTGTATACTATGATATACTAGAGCTAATAGTCACCATTACTATTTGTAGATATGTCTACTATTGATATTTTTATGTTATTACTCTTTACAATATTTACAATATTAAATGGGGGTTTTCTAAGCCACAAGGAATTATTGATATGAAAACAAACTTTGTGGATGGAAATAAATATTTTTTGTTCGTTATCGGTAGTTTATTTTTTTAAATTTGAATAAAGAATTGTAATCAGTAAAATAATATTATTTGGTCAGTGCATTTTTGTGAGAGGGATGAAGGTATGAAAATAATATGAAAGTCTAAGAGAAGAAGATTAAGATTCTCTTTCCAATCTTGATTGAAAAGTATTTATTGTGCATCTAATTGATGGTGTCAGACATAAGATAATTATAACTACTTATAGATCAACATGCTAAATAGATTAAGTCGTCAAATTTTGGATTTCGCTTAGGTAGATCATTGAACCTGTTAGAGGTGTTATCGATATATTGTAGCTAGATTGGGAGATATAAACTCTTTGTAAGTTTCGATAAATGAAAGAAATTATCTAAAGGCTTCATTAGCAAAGAACTAACAGTTTTCAGAAGTTATCAATGAAGACATGATGAACTTAATACAATCTCAGAAGACATAACAAATTTAATACGATTTTAATTTTGTACTTATATATACATGATGTAACAAGAATATTGAATAACAATTTCAGTGTTTTCCCTAAATGAGGTTAAAAATTATGTCAAGCTTTTGAATCTATATGGATGTTAATTTAGAGCAAAATTAAACAGTGGGGAATCAATGGATCCCATGTAGGTTTGTAAATGAGATGAAACAGATTACGAGTTACTCGAGATCGACTCGGTCAAAGCTCGATAAATACTCGAATTGAATGGACTCGACTCGAGTTCTTAACGATCCGAAATGAGCTACTTGATACTCGACTTGAAAAGCTCATGAGCAGCTCGAAAATATAATATATGATTTTATTTTTAGAAAAAGTAAATTATTAATAATATTAACATTTATGTGTTTTTTTAAAATATAATAAGGTTTTCATGTATTTAAGGTTCAGTTTCGAATTTGAGTTTGAGGCTTCAATCGAGTTAAGTTTATTTTTTTTCATTTTGAGCATTTTCGAGCTTTTATAAGCTTCAGTTCATGATTTCAAGTTCGAATCGAGCATGAAAATTTTAAGCTCGCGAGTTTTCGAGTCGAGCCGAGCTCTATTTCAGAGTTTTCAAGTCGAGCTTAACAATATTCAAGCTCGACTCAACTCGTTTACACCCCTAAGTGGATT